CTTTTAAATTTTTAAATTTTTAAATTTTTTTATTTTTTTATTTTATTTCTTTTTTTAAATTTTAGAATTTTTAAATTTTAAAATTTTTAAAATTTTTAATTTTTTAATTTTTTACATTTTTATAAAATACATTCCACTTTTGGTGCTGCGAATTTTAGGTCAATTCCATATTTAGGCCACATCATTCACTTTATCCACTTTTGATACATGACTATTGGGTTTTTTGCCCATATATGGTCCTTCCGACATTGTTTGTAATGGTTAAAATCACCGGAAAAGTACCAAAAATGGTTAAAAAACACTACCCAAGTACCAAAAGTGGACAAAGCGAAAGACGTGGACTAAAGGTGGAATTGGCACAAAACTCGTAGGACCAAAAGTGGAATTAATTCTTTTTTATATTATAACGTTTCACATAGGAGATGGATAGTTTGTGGTTATCAATATGTTTCCTCTGAAATACCCTGCTTTGGGGGGTTGAGAATGGGAGGAAGTGAGGGATTTTGGAAGTCTTCCACTTTTCTCTCCTTCCGCCCTATTTCCTTCAACCAAACACACACAGATCCCTCACTTCCCTCCCTCCGAAACCCTTCAACCAAACAGGGTCTTAGGCGTTATAGTTCACTTCTAAAAAACGTTCATTCAAAACACTAAAATTGTGATAATTTTTCACGGAATTCTAATGATTAGGGTAGCTTTATGCAATCTTTTCTAATCTACCCTTGAGTCACCCAATTCAAATCTCACTAGATATAGCTATGATATCTTATTTGTGAGTTAGGAGTCTCTCAACTTTATCACAATGTTCTTAGGATGTTTTTACTTGGGATGTTTTCTTTTGGATTGAAATTTGCTGGTCTGGTCTGGTCTGGTCTGAATTAGTCTGGTCTAGTCTGGTAAACGTCTGGTCTCTGTGTATTTTATAACTACGGAAGTCTGGTCTGGTCTGGTCTGGTCTGGTCTGTTTAAGTCTGATCTGGTCTGGTCTGTTTAAGTTTGGTCTGGTCTGGTCTAGTCTGGTCTGGGACTGGAAACAGTCCAAAAGAAAACATCCTTGGACTGTAATTTGTCTCAGACCATATCAGACCAGACTAGACCATATCAGACCAGACCAGACCAGACTTGGGTAGTTATAAAAAGAAAAAATGGCACCCGTATGACTTCCCAACTTGTGTGGGATAAAAATATAACCACTTCTAAAAAAGTCACAAAAGTGACCCGTCTCGCCTCTTCCGCTTCATTCGCTTCATCTTCCCTTTTCCACACAAACGTACGCTACCTTCCGCTTCATCTTCTCCCTTCTGCCCTCACTCCTTAGCTTTCAAACTACCTCGCAGCCTCCATCTCCGGTGCAATCCACCTTTGCCAATGGTAGGACCTCCGCCCTCAGCTTCTTCGACGGCAGCGGCACTGCCTAGGTTCTCCGTTTTCCTCGTTGGCCGCCCCTCTCAGGGATGAGGACTTTGATTTGAGGCCTCGAGTTCCGCATCCGCCTTTCTCAAAGGCAGACGACTCCGATTGGGGGGACCGCTGGTTCCAGATCCGCCATCCTTGATTCTGCTTTCCTCAAATGAAGAGAGAAAGCTTGATGCCTCCTACTCTCTTCCTCTGTATAGAACTGTGGAAGGTGTTGTGGGGCTATGGAGGGTGTTGTGGGGCTGGGTTGGGCGGGGTTGGTGGGTTGGCGTGAGGCTATTAGGTTGAGTCGGGACTGGTCACGCCGGAGTCCATGGTGGTGGAACTGGTCGGAGAGAGAATGGGGGAACAAGGGGTGGGACAGGGGAGGAAATTGGGGGCTCGGGAGCTGGTGGCTGGTGTTGAGGGATAGGGTCAAGGAGCCTGTTGGATTGCTGATTTATGGGATGGACCGGTGATGATGGGGCAATGGGCGGTGGTGGACTGTGAAGGATGGGGGTGGGAGGGCGGAAACTGTCGTGGTGGACTGGTGGCCTGCAGCAGCGGAGGTGGCTGGCGGTGGTTTTCCGAATGGGTAAATGTGGCCGGTGTGGTTGGCGGAGGTGTCACTTTGGATATGTCACTGTTCCGGCGGTGGTCACCGGCCGGCGGCCGTGACCGGTGGGGCGGGGGAGGCAGTCACTAGCCGATAGGGTGGTGGCAATCACGGTGGATGTTGTCACTGTTGCGGTGTCACTATGACGGTGTCACTGTGGTAGGGCGGTGGCGGGAGTGACATGGGTGGCACCAACAGTGACACGGGCGGCGGCAGCAGTGACACGGGTGGTGGCTACAGTGACACGAGAGGTGGCTACAGTGACACGAGAGGTGGCTATAGTGACAAAAGCAGTGATTACAGTGACATCGAAGTGACATAAAATCTGACAGTGATAATATGTTTTTTCAAATATATGACCTTCTTAGTCACTTTTTTGTCTTTTTGAAAAATGATCACATTTTAGAAAAGCGGCTTTAATTTAGTAATATTGAAGACAAAAACTCTTATAAAAATACAAAGAAGCCAGACCAGTTCAGACCAGATCAGACTAGACCAGACCAGACCAGACCAGCAAATTATAGTCCAAGTAAAAACATGCTTACTCTACACTTCAATCGTTGGAGAAAATATAATCTGATGTTTCTCAAAACCCAATTGCAAAGAAAATGACAATGTAAAGCTGAGATTATAACATAAGAAGGAACTGGTACAGAAGCGTTCCTCACTAACGCATATTATATCCTTTGGAGCACTGTTTTATCAATGATATTTCTTTTGAACTTGCTCACCTTTCCTCTTGATTGAGCAGAAGTATCTTGAGAGAAGGGATCAAAGCAGCTCAATAATATGGTTTCCTCCCCACTTTTCTTTTTAAAGAATTTTCTTATTTTCCTTCAAAGTAGTTTTCCTTTAATTTAAGAAGACGGTCCATTATTTAAGGTTCACAACTTTTCTCGGATTCAAAATACTTTCTATTAAGATTGGCTACGGAGAACCGGTGGCGGCAAAGAGTATAAGCGGCAGTATAATGGTGAGGCGCAAAGAAGACAATTGTGAAGAGGGTGACGAAGAAGATTGATCGCTGGAAACCTAGGATTATCATTTTATTATACTAGTGTAACACCCGGGGCATGCCCCGGTAGTGTTAATTTAAAAATGGGTGAGGTGACAAATACAGATAGACATTGTCAATTATTCATAGTATATGATCAAATTTTGGTTATAATCGATTTCTTTTACTCCCTTTGTCGCTTTATATTTAACCAAACACTTTTTGTTAAGTCAATGATGTTGAATTTGACCAATTATATATTTATATACAGTAGTAATGATAATATGGAAATGATATGAAATGTTATTTGTTAAAACTTTCTGCTCATAAAAGTATATATAATGAATTTAAATATATAATGAAAATTTGATTCTTAATATGTGTCACGACTATGGTATAAATGTGCACTTCCCATAATGCAAATTTAAAGTCAAATTTCACTATAAATTTGATATATCATTGATTTATAACTCTAATTTTAAATAATTATTTATATATCCAATTCGTTGTCATATGAAAGATAATAAAACTTCATGATTTTTGGTATACTTTTTCTACAATTTGTGTCATATGAAAGATCATAAAAAGTTTTAAATTTTGATGTATTTTTTTGTCAAAATTGGTGTACAGATAAATAAGAATAAATTATAATACATTAAATTAAATCAAGTTTTTTTCTCTCCTTCCCTTTCTCTAAATGATCAATGATGCATGTAGTGAATAACAATGATGAACCGAGTCAACTTATATGAATTAGGATGTTTTTACTTGGATTGTAATTTGCTGATCTGGTCTGGTCTGGTAATGTCTGGTCTCTTTGTATTTTTATAATTATCCAAGTCTGGTCTGTTCTAGTCTGGGATAGGTTACAGTCCAAGTAAAAATATGCTTAAATGTTTTAGTAGTAGTCATAATAGAATTTTTGTTAATCAATATAATTTTCAACTCAGTTTTGCTATATAAAATAATAGATATTTTTTGTTTACATATTTTCACATATATAATATTGGTGTCATATGAAAGATCTTAAAAAGTTATGAATTTTGATATATTTTTTGTAAAAATGGATTATAAATATAAAAGTTATATCACTTCAAAAAAGAGAGATTGATTATATTGTTTTAATTAGGTGTGGTGGACATTGAATTAATTAATTGTTTTAATGGTAATAATAATAGAATTTGCATTATCCAATAAGAAGTTGACACATCATTGTTTTTTAACTCAAGTTTACCATATAAAACTATAGATAGGATGGTTCAATGGTAATCATTCATTTCAAGGGTATATTTGTCTAAACACACATAATTAATTCTACTAGAGAATTTAAAACAATGTAGTCCTACTTGTTATTTTGACTGCATTTTATTCCTAGTTAGATAATTCACCCTACTTTTTTGTGTAGATGTATACAATTTTTCTTTCTAGTATCACCGCACCATTAATCAGCACCTCAACACCTGCAAAATTTGACCAACCTGTCTTTTTTAGAAGCTTGTCTGGGAGATCAGACTTTGTACCTATAACCAGTGTCAAGCGAAAATATAACTGACATTATCTCTTTCAAATAAGAAAAGCTCTCTTCCCTCTAGATGGAGAAGAAGTGGAAGTCGTCAATGATAACCATCTTATATGTGGCAAGAGTCGCAAGACATATCAAAAGTGATTTCAAGGCAAAGGAGGAATGCATGAGACAATACCATGACGCTACTTTAGAACTCCTAAATTTCTTCATAGCTAATGAAATTGAATAAATTCCAAGGAACTTATGAAATAGAACTCCCAGTAGACAGTTGAGGTTTATAATTATTTGACCAACCCTTGGGAAAGTATATATATAACCCTTGAGAAAGTATATGTAAGTAATCGAAAAAGGAAAGTAAGGTATTGGAACAATACAACAACAATATTATCTCGGTGCCGCAAAGGCTCCCCCACCTTTGATGGGTTAAGAGGGATCGGATGTACATAACCTTACTCTTGTACAAATGCACACACGGAATGTTTTGATGAAAATCACGTCAAAAATTGCATAGACAATTTAGCGCTCTATTACATCATATTGTCAAGCCAAAAAAATTGTGAGTCTTTGTCTCTATTGGAAATGATGAAAAAAAAGGTATTGGAACAATATGACACATTATTTCTTTTCAATTGATTAAGAATAACATAGTTCAGCACACATCTATTCTTATGTGTGTTTATTAGATTAGTTATGAGGGTTGAAGTGAACAGACAAGTATAGGATGATTATACATTTTGTTCCCACGTACTACTGCAAATGGCAAGAGCCTGGATCTGACGGCACATCTCGCCCTAAACCCAACAATGGAGCAGCAGCAACTCCTCTATTGTTCAACAGACACCTGAAGTGTGCCAGCCTTCCAGCAATTTTAAGTGGATCCTTGGCGATATTGTCATATGATGTCCATAGCCTCTCTTTAATTTAACCGCCCAATAGGATGGATCATGCATAACAGTAGTATGTTAGTTCATCAGCACATGAAGTAATATTGTTTTTAGGGGTAGGCATGGCGTTCGAGCTCTACCAAGCCCTAATATACATGTCCGGGTACTAAATAAAAATCCCAAAACAACTGCACCTAAAAACTGTTATGGATCCTTTCAGATTCAAGGTTGTATACACGTGTGTTTTGCAAAAACATTGAGAGCTCATTTCAGATTCAGTCAAAAAAAGGGTCAGGTTTTGATGGATTTGGGTTATTAAAAAGTGTGGATACCCTGTCGGTATGAGTACATACTTTTGCAAACCCCAGCATAAGTATGTCAACGTGCACTTGAAGTGTGCCCATCCCACTAATAACTTGTTAAGGTGTGAGGCAAGGAAAAGAAACAAGATAACCTGCAGCAGCAGCGGCACGGGGCCATATCGTTTGCTCTATGTCAGAACCATCAATGTGTTCTCCCCACATGCATACCTCTCCTCCAAGAACCAAAGCCTGCTGCTTGATGTCGGTGATGTTAGCGAGCGGATCGTTCATGTAAAAACCCTGCCACGTGGCATCCAAATGGTCAAGATACCACTTGTCTTGGTTGCTCACGATGCACCGCAATCCTGCTGCAGCCACTTGCTGAGCCACACCACTGCCTAGCCTGTTGCATGAAATGTTGAAACATACATAAATACATACATTATTTATACAGTGAGGTCTCGGGTTCGAAACTCAATGGAGTGAGTTTCAGCCCTGATTACTCCAGCCCCCTCTCCCCCAGGCGCCCCCTGGAGTAAAAAAAAAAACAGAAAAACATTATATATACAGTGAGCTTGTTTGGGATGAAGACCTTTTTGAAAAGAATGTGTATGTTTTTATTTGGAGGAAGAGAAATCATTTTACTTCTAAAACAAGTGTCTGGCAATGAAACTAAAAAGTGCTTTTAGCCATTAAAAGACAAAACAGATGTGTGATGCTTGTATTAGAAAGCAGAAAATAGGTGCTGAAACATCTCTAGACACCTGAAATGAGAAGGCAGGTATAGCACTAGTTATCCCAAACAGGGTCTTAGACAAACTAAGAAGAGGACAAAAATATAAACGGTTAAGTTGTTATACCAATTGTGGACCACAGTTTTGGGGCTCAACTTATTGCCAAAATTGTTGAAGGTCTCTTCCCTGAAATTTTGTTTTGTAAACACACATACTGCGTTATTATTATTAAATTTACTTAGTAGACAAAACAACACTTGCTTAGAAGACTCAACAGAGGCTGGATCCTGTACCAGTTTATAATATCATATCCATGAGATAAAGCTATCTTCTGTGCACGTAAGACAAAATACTGGTATGCCATTGGTCCATCCAGTTGGTGTTTCTGTAACCTGAGAAAAACCAGATTTAAAAGTTTCCAATCACTTCTAGTTTTACACACATAAAATGCAACAGCGTAATTAGAAAAGTTGTATTCATGTTCACGATATGCGAACCAGTATCGAATGTTACCAATTGTTTATACGAGGAGTTGATGTCCAGCAGCCTGCATTTAAAACCAAACCCCTGTATAATATATTCCAGGTTTCACAGAATAATAATCGACTGAATATCCAGAGGGTCCCATGGGTAAGTGAAATTATAAATATTCTATAACTCACTCGTATTCACTTCATCTCCCCCAAGATGAATAAACTTGTATTTGAAGATCTTACTGAAATCTGAAACATGTGAGTTTCAACCACGTACACAATTGTCTTAGTCACTGCCAATCAAGTATTGACAGTTTTACATCGATGAAACATTGCTACGTAGCAGGTAAGATTACCTGAGAGGATGCCATCTATTACGTTGAAGGTGAATTCATTGCTCACATCTAATGGCTGCTGACAGTCTTTTGATGGCCATAGTGAAGGATAGCCTACACCCCTATGATTTAGACAACTTATATGTTAGCTACAAATCCATCGCTACAGATCGGAGGTGGAAATTTAGCAAAACAATATAAGAATGATGAATTTTGAAAGAAGGATAGGAGAGTACCAACCACGACTGTGCATGTCCTGGAACATCGATTTCAGCCAAGACATTGATTCCACGTCTTTGCGCATATCTGCAACCCTCACGTTAAAATGAAGATTTAATTACAGGAATGAATGTGTGGCTGGTTAGCTCAATGACATACAAAGGAAAATCAGAAAACAGGAATGACTTGCCTTACAATTTCAGTAGCATCACCTATCGTGTACCGCTCTAGACTAGAATAAGCCCCGTCCCACAGTTTTGGATACGAATGCATTTCAAGTGGGAAAGATTGTGTATCCACAATATGCCAATGCAATACGTTCTGTACCAGCCAAAAAGGTGTGACTACAATACTACATATGTTACACTAGTTTTCAACCATGTCAAACTGCTCAGTACTTAATTGTACTTGAATTATAGAGTATCTGTGCCATAAAGCCGAACAGTCAACATAGGTAAGGGCCTTACCCTAAAGCTTCGTCTAGCTAGCCTAGCTTTTTCAACCATGAAAAAAAAGTTGCTCCGGGCATTCTGGGGGAGGAGGAAGGGGGGGGGGGGGGGGGGTGCAAGCTAAAGTTAAGGGGGGGGGGGGATACTTTAACAAGCTCTAAATAGATCTTGACAAGCTCTTTTTAAATAAATAATATTGATTTTCAATAACATGTCTGCTTGTCAAATTCCAACTTTGCCATTATTGTACTAAAATGGATTGATTAAATTGGTCAAAGACTTCTGTTCCATGGCAGTCCTGTTAAAAGTGTGTTTTCTCAAAACCAACTTTTCCACCGCTAAGCCATCCAGAGTTAGTGTTAGATATATTTCAAGCTACTATGGAGTAAGGCATCCGCTGAGCTTTGGTTACTGTGCTTAACACAAGTGTGAGAAAGGTATAAGAGAAAGACAGGACACCATTTCTTTTTTTAGTAATGTTTCAGCTATGTAAAGTGTAAACATTCCATACCAGTTTCGCATATGTCATGGAATCAATAACTTTCTTTATTACTGGAAGTGGCAGATAATGTCGTGCCGTATCTGCATGATGAAAAGTTAGCGATGTCAGAAAATCTTTAATAAGTTAAGGATACCATCCGATTATGAAAAGGATTTGGTCAAAATAACACAAGGATGAAAAAAACATAAGTAGCAGGATAATCAAAGAAGTACATTCATCTGACCGATTAAAAGGCCTCGATAAGTGAACCTTGGCTGGTCCAATATAGTCCATGGTACTTGACGCACTTCAAGTGCTTTGGCTTGGAAGTTGAAATAGCATAATTGGCTAAATGTCTGCATGCATGCAACAAATCAATAGTATATTATATACAAATGACGCAAAGTCCTTGGTTGTTACACTGCTTTAACTCCGTATGCATCTTAGAGGGAGACAGTAAAAACACTAAACCTGCAACCCGTGTAGAGCTCCATAAACTGTTGGTGCCTGCATTACAACTATATGAAGTAAAAATTTAAGCATAGAAGGAAATCAATAAAACACACAGTACCAAATGATTTTCTCTTACTTTTCCATCTGGTTTCTTGCTACATGTCAAAATCTCTTAATATCTTGCAATTCTAGTTTAATTTAGACGATAAAGATTACTCTATAATTGTAGAAAAGCTGAGTAAAAACAATGTAAAACCATTCTAAGATATGGTGTTTATGCAGTACTAAATAGCACAAATTATTCCCAATGAAAAAAGGAACGGTTTTTTAGATAATAATTAAAAAAAGGTTACTTGAGTATATTTTGAGAAGTAATTTTGGTGGGTATATAATATAATGAGGTATTGATGATAATTGTGATGTTATTGGTTATTATTTTTAATATTTAATGATTAAATATGACTCGAGAGAAGAATAAAAGATTGTCAATGGTCAACCTAAGCAGGTAATGAAACAGAGAGCTCAGGGAGCCTTAATGACAAACACACACAGATCAACCCCAACCCACTCAAGCAGCTGAACAAGTTGGGTTCGAAAAACGTAAAGGGTAGATATTTCCCTTGAAGGGAAAATTTTCATGAATGTAGCATATTATAGTTGGGAGAATATGGATTTATCCTCTAAAACCGAAATGGTTATTTAGATGTGTACAAAATTGAATGTAATCAATTAGCTAGTCTAACTCAATGCCTTATGAACTGGATCCACAAAAAAGGGGGGCGACTAGGTATGTGATGGTGGGCGTGGGCAGGTGAAGCAAAGCATAGGCATTAGGCATGATAATATATGGTGCAACAAACCTGGTAAAACCCACCCTAAGGTATGCATAGACGCCGTTAGTATCCCCAGGTATGGACAAGTTGTAAGACTCGTCCACTCCGTGCTGCAGCTGCATTTTGAGGGCATATTTAATGTATCCATTATTATTTTCTTTTCCTTTTTTGTGCAATAATAATCTAGCTAGCTGGATATATTGGTGTTGTAGTACCTCATCGTGGGGCGAAAGAACGTCCACATGAATCCCTTTGAGTAGGTTGGAATTGAGAGAGAAATCAATAACATGAGCACCTTTGATCACATCAAGTGTCCTCAGGAATCCATCCTTGAGAATCCCAGAAACATCCGGATAAGTGCTTCCATGGGTCTTCAGCTCAAACTCGTTGCTCAAATAAAGGCTATGGTGGCCATGGCTCACTGATTTGGGCATGGGCCATATGTTCAATCGCTCCTTAACATCAGCTGATGATGATGATGATGATGATTTCGCAACCAAATAAAGCCCTGTCACCCAAACCACATACTTCACTGCCAAATTAACACCTCCCGCCACCATCTTGCACGTATTTTATATATACTTGTATGTTCTACCCAGAAATTCCACAATCTTATATACGCATGCCCTTTAGTGTTTATTTTCTACTGCGCGCAAAAGAGTCAGTCCAAAACTGAAGCATTCAATTCCCAGCTAATAAACACTACTCGGTATAGTAGTCGGTACAAGATAAGTGAGCATCCTTTCATTTAAAAAAAAAATTGTCCCCACAGACAAAACGGGCGTGCAAATGACACGTATGACTTTGGCCTCGACAAGAAGCTGACAGAACCACAAAAATAAACATACCAGCAGTGAATGCGGACAGTTCCTACAAGCATATAAGTACCAAGGTTTTAAATAGCCATAGCGGTAACTGTCATTGCGGTAGCGGCCTGTAGCCGACTGTATCCATTGCAGCGGCGTGAAATATTTTCAATTGCGCAAAACATATATTTTAATGAGTGTTGAAATTAATACAAACATTGTGAATAATTGTTTGAACACTTATAACATTAAGAGTTCATTTACACAACATAGACACATTTACACATCAACCCGTTCGTGACGTACTGCCGGAAATGTCAATAGCGGGCTGTAGCGGGCGACGTAACGGGTTTTTCTCGTGATTTGGAATTCACAGCAGAATAGCGGGCCGTAGCGGTAGCGGCCCCTATCGCGACCGCTATATAGCGGCAGCAATAGTGTTAGCGGGCCGCTATTTAAAACCCTGCGTGAAATAACACTACGTATGGGAGAATGTATAATGAGTGGTGTACAAATTGGCGTGTAGACCCGGAATTAGTGATGGCAGAAGTCAACCGCTGAGGAAATGGAGAGCCAATTGTTATGAAAGAGTTGGGTGGGCTTTCCACTCTGTCGGTAACATATTGAAGAGGAATCGTCTTCGCCTGCATGGACAACAAATGGTTAAATGTCTCTTTCCATCCTTTCTTTTTCTTTCTCCTCAATAAATCTATATTTTAAAATACTGATCCGGTCAAGTGGCCGGATCACTGGTAAACCCAAATTTTGTGATTTAACCACCGATAATAGTTTCTAATAAATACTCTGTATATGCATACAATAATGATCCTATTGGATTGTTTTGACGAGAATCAATGTCCGAACTTGTGTATTTGAGGTGCTTTCGGGTGTCAGTTAATGAATTTTTTTGACCATGTGTTCTTGACGGAGTGTAAATTATTTCTATAAAATTTCAACTCAAAACTCAATCAAGAAGTCAGTTAAATAATTTATTGGAAAAAAATTGCACCAAAATATAGATAGTACTCCCTCCGTCCCATTTATATTATCTCGTTTAACCTTTTCGGGAAGTCCCATTTAAATTGTCTCATACCATATTTGACAAAGTTTGCGTGGCTCTAAATCATTTTTACATTATTCTTACTTTATCAATTAATATCAACCACACAAACTCATTTTTCTTAATAACCGTGTCACCCTCTTCCGTCCTAATATAAATGGGACGGAGGTAGTATATATAAACAGAGTGTTTTTTCAATAATTTATTTATCTGACTTTCTGATGGAATTCGAAGCTAAGATTTTGTTGACATAATCTACACCTCATGAATAATATGCTCACAAAATTTTATCAAAAAATACACTTGAAAGTACCTCAAATAGACAAGTTCATATGGTAGTTGCTGCCAGAACTACTTGAGGTGATCTTTTTCAAGAAATAATTACATAAATATGACCAAAATAAAGATGATTTACAAAAGTATGATTAGTGACTAGAGTAATAATGAAATCATAGTAATTCATGTTAAGTTTTGAGCTTTAGTTACCACAACACTACATTGTAGTAATGAATAGTTATATATATGCAAATATGTTTTATTTCAGTAATATTCTTGTAAAAAACCCCTTTTTCAATGTATATATATATGTGTGTATATATAGGATTTTACCTAAAAACAAAGTAAAAGCTATTTTCATCATAATCAGATAATGATAATATTATTGTGCTTCACAAACCATTGAAATGACATAATAAATCTCTTAAAAATAACTTCTGTCTGGTTTGTTTAATTGTAATATTTAACTATTTATTTGTACATTTCAAAATTGACGTTGATATGGTTTTCTTTCTTAAATGAAAATATTAAATACACGAATACATCACATATCCATTATCATTTTTATGAAGTTATGATAGTGAAATATATTCAGACTAAGGTCATATCCAACAGTTTACACCATTTTTTACACTAAAATGGTGTAAACATCACATCAAACAGTATTTTATCTCCAACAGTTTACACCATTTTCATCACCAAAAAGGAATATTCTCTTTTTATTCTTTTTACTAACTTTTTATCATTCTTCTATTTAAGTATCTAATTATCATATATTTATACATTAGCCCCTCATTTAATATTTTGACATTTCACACATTATTTCACACATACAAACTAAAATACACCATTTTAATATGTATTTTCACGCATTTCACTAATTAAAATACAATAATCAATATTTCACTAATTATAATGGTGCTATTAATTGTAATTTTAATTATGTTATTTTCTTAAGTATCATTTGTATTCTGTTATTATGTTGTTTCGATTTGAAACTTTATTTATAATATTGTGCGATTTAAATTTTATTATATTTTTGTTATGTTCTATCAAATTAATAATTTTAATTTGTTGTTCTATATAGATATTTTTACTTGGACTGTAATTTGTCTCAGATCAGATCAGACCGGATTAGACCAGACTTGGATAGTTATAAAAATACAAAGAAATCAGACCAGACCAAATCAGTTCAGAACAGACCAGACCAAATCCGACCAGATCAGACCAACAAATTTTAGTCCAACTAAAAACATCCTAATTTGTTATTTTAAAAATGGGTCAAAACTATAATAATCAAAACTTTGGGTCACATTTGAAATTAAAAAAATAGAAAAAGAAGATGGTGTTGGATTTGGTGTACACCATATATGGCGTAAAGCCAAAGGCATTCCACCAAAATGGTGAAATGGTGTTGAAGATGGTGTGGCTATTGGAGCATTTTTTTGGCAAATGCACCATTTTGGTGTAGAAGTTGGTGCTTGTTGGAGATGCCCTAAAGATGCTTAAATAAAAAATATTCAGAAAGTTGCAAATAAACGTTTCAGAATTGGGTTTGCTTGGATTTCTCGGGTCTTACCGGTTCAGGTCAAAATCAGGTTTTCTTCTGGTCAACTAGGTTTATTTCTTAAGTCCAACCTTTTGTCTGTCGGAACGATTTTGGGACGTGATCGCCAATAATCGCATCAACCCACCCGATCGGGCGGATTTTTCTTAGCATAACATTAAATGAGTCTACACATTTTTGTTGTTTTTGGGTAATAATCTTATAAGTGTTTGGGTAAAGCAGTGATTCGGGGAGTGTTTGCAAAAATTTAAAAAAATTGATTTCAAGTTTTTGGTTTTAAAAGTTGAAATACTCCGCATGTGTTTTCAAGTGTAATTTCTGCTTAAATTAACATTTAAAAGCTAAAAGCTGAAAGTAGATAGATAGATGCTTTAAACTGCTTTTAGAGAAGGCCATGCAACGTGACAGATCGGGAACAGTTATGCATATAACCGTACCTACCCTGATGGGTAACTTTCCCCGCCATGTAACCGCTCATTGCCCAATGGGTAACTTTATTCAAACCATGACCGCCGCAATGCGTAACGCGTATAACTGCAAGTAACTACTTTTATTAAATGAGTCATTTGATATTTCAATTTAAAACTTAATATTTTAGAAGACGAAAAATGACATCGTCTAGGCGACTCTATATGTTAGACGTCATTTAAAAAATTTATGCATTTACAAGGAAGGAAAGAAGGCAACATAAATAAATTTGAATTTAGAAATACTTCAATTCAAAAATAAGTAATTAAGGGGAAAAATTGATAATAACCAAACGAGAACATTAAAATTTATTATGAACTTTCATTCATACATTATAGTTAGTGCATCCACATATACATAATGAAAAAAGAAAAATCTCATCTTTTATTAATAGTGGTTAAATAATACTACCTCCGTCCCATAATGGTTGTCCACTTTCAATTTGGCATGATTATTAATAAAGTGATTGAAAAGTAAAAGTTGTGATCGATTGAGATTTGAGTAGAATAAAGTGAATTGATAAGAACCACATATTTCATCCAAAAAAGGAAACAAGACATTCATTTTGGGACAACTCAAAAAGGAAAGTAGGACAACCAAAATGGAACGGAGGGAGTAGAAAAAAGTGTAATCAAAATATAGCTAAAAGTAAGCGGGCGGGTACGGGGTGGGTACATATAAAACCATATTGTTCCGTTATCCATAAAAACAAAATGGTTATTCACCGCCCCGTACTTGTTACCCGGTCAATGCAGTTCTCCCCATTTTGATCGAAGCGGTTCGGTGCGGATATTCACCGGATTGGTCACAATTATCATCCCTAACTGTTTTTCACTTCTCCTATTACACAAGAATCGCTTGTTTGCCAACAATGTTAAGTTTTACTTTTTCAAAAACACTTTTTCTTAAACACTATCAACTTTTATTACTAAGTATTTTCTCTAAAATTACTTTAAAATCATTTCTTAAAATTGAAGCAATTGTAAACACTTCCCAATGAGTGCTTGCAAGAACTTAAAAAACACTTATAATATTTTCACTTTAAAAAAGGGTTGAAACTAGTGTTTTTAATATTTGATTCTGCTTAAAAGACACTTTAAAGCCACAAGCGGGAAGCTTAAATATAGCAGCTTCTGCTTCTCGTTTTTTGTAAATAACTCAAACTTTAAGGATAGTTGTTATGGTAAATGTTTTCCCTAAAACCCAAAATACCCCTTCATCCCTTAGTTGTATTCCCTCCTCCACACCGATGCAGTGGTGTGACTGCCCCTGCAGTGGAAGAGGTTCCAGCCGTCCCCCTGTCCAGCACCTTTGCTATCAACTCGTGGACGGTCACCCTCACCAGTACAGATATCTTTTTAGTTCAAAACAAGAAGTTATGTCATGTCCCCTATACTTACAATACGTACACACAAGGCCTGCTTTGTCCGGTTTTGCCCCACGTTTTGCACCCTATCCGTGAGTTTGAACTGCAAAACCCAATATTTCTTGAGGTTCAACCGTGATACATGCCTTGAATCATCT